GATATTCAACAGTTAGTTAATAATTTCTCCTCAAACGATTTTTTATATTTTGTTGTAATTCAAAAATCAACTATAAATAGATACTTCAATTTTTCACCAAATGATTATGATAAAATATTACAACTGTCTAAAGGTACCTACATGATGAAATGTTCAAAATATTTCTACTTTTTTTGACCTATTTAGAGACGGGTCTAAAAGCTTAAACAATTAATACAAGGTTCCTCATAAGTTGTTATAATAGCAATTTTTAAATAATGAAGATACATTATGTACGATTATTTTTTTTTGTAAGCATTTTAAGTACAGGTTTTTACAAAATTAGTCAATATACCGCAAACGTTATTTTGGTTAAAAATTTATAAAATGTTCAATTTTTATAGCTAAAGATCGGAAATTTAAAACGAGATTTCCCATGAGTGGGTAATACTGTTACCAAAAATCTAAAAAATATATAAGCACAGTTTTTTTTATAGAAATTTTAAGTTGAAACTTGGACGAAATTAGACGTTTTATAATGCACAATATTTTACTATTAGTAAAATGAGTTACCTACTTAAATAGCTGTAAATTGTAATATAAATATAACTTTATAATATCATCTAGATAGCTACCTATATTTACCAATATTATACTATTATATGTATAGGAATATATAAGAATCAGGTGAAAATTACATTGGAATTGAAACTAAAGCAATTATTTATATTTTTATTTAATATAGGTATTACTATAGTACATTATACTCAAAAAATATTATGCAAACCATTAACCAAATAATATACATATATTTACATGGGTATAAGAAAAAAAATGTAATAGTTCTATTTATTACTGAATGATAATATGATGTACCTACCTAGCTAAAAGCTTAAATAACTAAATCAGTGACTGGTGAAATATCGTTTTTAGATGATAAAAACTTGATTTTCATATTGAGGAGGCTTTTACTGGAGATAATCTTAACTGTAATATGTTAAAATATTAAATAATGCTATATTGTAGACATAATGCGGTAAATATTATAACTTGTGAAAATATTTTTTAGATTAAAAATTGGTGGGGCGGAGGTTGCTTCCACGACTTAGTTCTAATAGCCAATATCCAATGGGGGAGGTGGCTATATAAGTAATTGTTCATTGCCACACCTAAAAAAAAATAGTTCGGCGCCACTGTAGTAAAATAAATAGCATTTTTATATAACTGTGGTTTATAACGAGCCTACAAATGCCATAGATCCGGTGGTAAGTATTACTGTTGCGGAGCCACTGTTGTTCATGTATTTATTCGATATCTACGTCGGTGATAAGATAACATTCAAATAATTACCGCGTGAATTTAAATATTATTATTATTATTTATTAATACAAGTAAATAATTCAATTGAGTATTGTAATTTTTATAAAAATTTTTAACAAAAAAAAAAAAAAAAATTAAGAATGATAATTCTAACACGTCTTACAAAAAAAAAAAAATAATAATAATTTATTAAACTTTATCTAATACGTCCTACAAAATCCTACTTTTTTTTTTACAGTTCATTATCCGAACAAAAAATCCTAAAATTAAGAAATTTTAGTTTTCTTTATTTGCCTTGTTTTTTGGCACCTGTAATACAAAAAAAAAATTAGTTGCACCAAATTGGAATTAAAATTCAATGTAGATCTACGTCAAAAATTCTCTTTTGTGGTTTCATTTTACCCCTTTCCAACTTATTTTTTTGTTTCAAAGGCACAGTTTCTATTTTTGAAGCATCAATGGAAACATGGATGGGTGCAACCAGTTTTTTATTTAACTGTTGTAGTTGTTCTCGTGATGTTATCTGCTGTAACGATTCCACGACATAGCTACAGGAAACTGAATAAAATACTTTTGTTCTTCATTAGTTTTCCATTTCTGAAATTCACCAAAAGATGTGAACTTTAAATGTTCATACACAAAGTCTAAGTTGTGGTATTTTTAGTAATGTTCATTCATGAGGATTCTTGTACTAAAATATTGTTCACACATAAGACACTTAAAATGTGTAGCCTGTATAATGTAAAATATTAAAAGCATTAGGTAAAAAAAAAAAACAAATGTTGCAATAGGTAAGTATCCATGATAATTCGGACTAATTACCTTGGGATTCGAATTTCCGTTCAAAATTATATGTTTACTAATATGTTTAATTAAATCATTCTTTCGGGTATATTTCCTTGAACAATGAGCACATTCCTATAGAATTCAAGAATACGAATTACCATGATGATATGTATTTCAATGTTAGATATAAAGTGGACCAATACTCAACAATCTACTTACCGGCTACCCTTAAAAGTAAAATAGGGTATCTGGTAAATAAGTAGATGTGAACATATATAACCACTGGTAATGATATTTTTCTATGTCACACTTACAAAATCATCTCGTTCTAAGAAGTGTTTTATTTTTATATGTCGTCTTAAGGTATCTTTCCGGAAAAATTTTTTATTACATTCATGACATTCCTATAAAATTATCAAAAGAAGAAATATTTTACACGCCATTTTGAAATCTACTTATAATTACTTACAAAAAAATCATTGACACGGAGAAAATTTGTCCCTTCTAAGGTACGTTTTGGATGAACGCTTTTCTTATGAATTTTCAACCCTTTAAAACTGGCAAAGTCTTTAAGGCAGAGATTGCATACCTATTCAATAATATGATGAAGAAATGAAGTTTATAATTTATTTATACTATATAGTATAGCCGCATAGGCAGTGGCGTCCGCAGGGGGTGGCTAACGGGCCCCATGCCCATTGCCCGTATTATTATTACTTTTTCAAAAAATATTAATCAAGTTAAACTGTCAACTATAGTAAGTAAGACATCAATTTCATATATGTCTTACCAGAATGAATTAATTTTTGAAAAATAACATTGTATTTGCATACCAATTTTCATAAATTATCTGTAATTTTTCGGTAAAAGTATGAACTAGGTACTTGTATAAAAGACCTTGTATTAAATTGTCTAGCCTTAGCTATACACATTTAATATTTTAAACAGTTTGAACTACAAATTAACTGTGTTTTTGACGAAATTTGAACTTTAAATGCTTATAAAAAATAACCATGATGCCTATCATAATAATATTCATTTTTTTTTCTCCAATTATTTTTAACGAAATTATAGCTCTTAAATATATTTATTATTTTAAAGTCATAAAAATCTTTCAAATTCATTAACAACGTTCTTTCCAAAAACTGCATAACAAAATATATTTACCTTACAGTCTTTATAATTTTTTTTCTTCTCAGTCCGAGAGATGTTTTTAATATGTGCAATTCGAATGTGCTGCGCTTGACTATATTTGTTATAAAATATCTTTGAACACTGAGAACATTTCTAAAATATTCAAAATATAAACATAAAATTAGTTACTGACATCAAAAAGTATATACAACAAAGAGGTACTGCAGTATAAATTCTAATTAACTTACAAAAGAATCACTTTTGCACTTATGTAGAATTTCTATATGACGTATTAAAATGTCTTTGCGGTTGAACTTTCGATTACATTCATTGCATTCCTACAAATTTAAAACAAATAAATTTGTATCAAGAAAAAAATATATCAGAAGTTATAACTCTTGTCTCTTAAATACTTACGAATTTATTGTCAACGTCTTTATTTTTTTGGTGGTGAGTTGATTGATGTCGGCTTAAATTATATTTTTTGGTAAAATTTGCATTACATTGTTTGCAAACAAAAGACATATTATACAAAATAATTAATACTATACTTATATTACTTAAACTTTTAATAATTTTATGACAACTATACACTAGCAATAAAATAAATACCTGCAGCATTAATGTTCAGATACTACAGAGTACAGACTACACTAATACAAATTGTGTAGGTCGATATATGATGGTAATAATAATAGCAAGACAGGTCTTGACCCATATTCGGAGTGACATTTGATTGTAATAAAGATCATTGATATTAAACTATTAAAGATACAATTATATACAACGCGGGAATTCCTATACATGATTATTATTATTATTTTTTTTTTTTTTGTAGTACGTGTTAGAATTATCATTCTTAATTTTTTTTTTTTTTTAGTTATAAGTATAATAATTTAGATTTAGGATATAAAAATTACAATACTCAATTGTATTATTTACTTGTATTAATAAATAATATTAATGATTATAATATTTAAATTCACGCGGTAATTATTTAAATGTTATCTTATCACCGACGTAGATATCGAATAAATACATGAACAACAGTGTGGCTCCGCAACAGTAATATTTACCACCGGATCTATGGCATTTGTAGGCTCGTTGGTTTATAGGGTTATAATGTCCATTGTCCAGTACTGAATCTTTTTCTTCCATGAACCAAAAAATTTCAATATTCCGTCCAATTTCCATCGAAATTTGATTAACAAATACAAATTGTCAAGAAGTATTGTCGTTTAAAAGTTATTTTTACAAACATTTCCCACACTGTTTCTGTCCAGAACGCCAGTTGAAAATAGATTTCATCCATTTTGGACGGACATTTTTTTTTCACCTATTTTTTCGCCAATCTTATCACGTGACCCGGTGACGCCTGCACTGCCGTGGCTCGTATCACCGAAACTTCATTTCTGATTCTCTTCATTTTCCCACTGCTCGTGCACACCTCCTCAACTCCAAAGTTGCAGTTTTTGGTGTTCTAACCATTTTTGGACTCTCTTGAATATTCAAAGGTAAGTCATACCAATAGCCCGTCCACACAACCGAAATTTGTTACTCAATTGCCGTCCGACCTTTTATAGCTTGTGTGCTTGTGGCCGGTTGTCCGATTTAGTGTCGTCGAAATGACATTCCCCCGCACACTTCCTCCACCGTTCACTTGACAACCGCGTTAACGGGGCTTGGAGAAATTGCATTAACTATTTTTATCGTGAAAATAATATTATTATTTTATTTTTCATTCCGTTTCTTTCAGAACTCCGCTTAAGATACCAATAAAGATGGCTCCTCCTTCATACAGTGATCTCGGCAAAGCCGCACGCGACGTCTTCAACACCGGCTATGTATTCGACGTGCTCAAGTTAGACGTGAAGACCAATCAAAACGTAGAAATCAAGGCTGGTGGTACTCAGCATTTGGTCTCGGGCGCTGTAAACGCCAATTTGGAAACCAAATATGTGATTAACAAATCTAAATACTGTGAGTCATTCCCAATTAAAGGTCATTTAGCATTTTCATACTTCCCCTTATCTCGTTAGTTAAATTGGTTATGATGAATATGCTAAATGTATTAATTGTACTATACTTGAAGTATTTGCACATAGACATTACCTGCCTAATTAATTTACCATACTTAAATGTCAGCAAATTGTGTTCAATTTTTAATTAACTTTAATTTGTTAAGTATTTACATTGGTTGAGAAATGGAACACAAATGATGTTATGACTACTGAAGCTTCTATAAGCGGCTTGTTACCTGGTGTCAAACTTACAACTGATGGTACATTTGACCGCAAGAAACAGTAAGTTTAAATAAAATTCAATACAATTTAATATATTATTGAACCTAATTTTAATTTTCCAAAGAACTAAGGCTGTAAGAGTGAAGTCTGAATACAAAAATGATTATGTCTCACTCAACTTGGACACTGAGTTTAAAGCACTGAAACCTGTTATTAACGCTTCTGCTGTAGTTGCTTACAATGGTATATAAGTTCTATGTCATATATTTAAATACTAACTATTTGTAACTAATTAATATATTATTCTTCTAGGATGGTTGGGAGGTTTCAATGTTAAATATAACACCAATGACAAATCAGTACAGTCTAACAATCTTGCTCTCAGCTACATTGCTAAGCAATTTGTGTTTACCACCACTGTGTAAGTAAAATAGCCAAACTGTCTTTAAACTATTATTAATTATTATATTATGTTCTACAGAAATGATAACAAGTTGTTTGGTGGCTCAGTTTTCCAAAAATTATCTGATCAATTAGATTTGGGTTTGCAAGTTTCTTGGTCATCTGAAAACAATGATTCTTCACTTGCTGTTGGTACCCAATACCAACTGAACAATGATGTTAAGTTGCGAGCCAAGATCAATAACAAGAGTCAGTTGTGCCTAGGTTCTGGTATTAAAATCAAAGATGGTATGTACCCATAATTTATCATTACACTAATAATAAAATTATAAGTAACGTAAATTTTATTTTAGGTGTTACATTGACATTGGCCAGCTTAATGGAATGTCGTCAGTTCAACCAGGGCGGTCACAAATTTGGTATCGGCTTGGAACTTGCTTTGTAAGCGACAAATACATGCCCAACTTATTGTACGTTATGTAGACAAAATGTATTGTCAGTAAACGTAGGATTATTAAACATAATCATAAGAGTATTTTTACAACATTAAAATTCAGTGTATTTGTTTAAAATTAATTAGGAAAAATAAAATTTATATCAGTTGCTCTCGTTATAATGTCATTTGATCATCTAAATGTTTATTCATCCATTCACGTACTTTTGGATCTGCAGACATGAGTTCAATTATATGATTGACATGATAGCACAGAGCCTCAATTTTCTTATCCCAAGTTGGCAATAATTTTTGAGCTGTAAAAAAATCCATGTACATAATATGAAGCTAAAGAACATGGGTCTAAACAAATAAATTACTTACACTTAAAGTGGACATAGGAGTCTACTTGATCAATTGAGCCTTCCATCCTTCCTTCTGATATCATTTGTCCTGCAATTTTTTCTGCTTTAATTGGTTCAATGCCCAACAAACGGCCAAGTTCCACAATTTTCATATTTTTATAAAGTTTACTTGCCGATAATAGGTTGTGTTCAATGATAGCTCGATTCAAAATAGTTGAACCTATAATATATAAAAAAGAAATGTAATGTGATTTTATTATGTCATTGCAAATAATTACCATCTACTGTTGTTGCCTTCTGATGTGGTTGTAACATTGCATCTAATTGAGCAATTTCATTGGGTCGAATTATGCGATCTAAATACATTTTTTCAAGGATTGAGAATTCTGGTAGGCTTTGACATCTTTCATCTTTAAATAATGTTGCCAGCATTCGGCTACGTTGTTGGCCTATAAAAAAAGTAAATAAATTACATTATTTTGGAATCTCACATGTGGACTGTGTGGCACAACATAAATTAATTCACAAAATTAGCTGTAAATTATAAGAAATTTAGGCGCTTAACCCGTAAGTGTTATGGTCTGGTCCCATAGACCGCTGCAGTTTTTTGTTTTGGTTTACTTCCTAAAATGTTTAAAAAAAATTTAATTATTTCTTTAAAATTATTAAATTTGAGTCGAAAAAAAAAATGTCGACACTGTAAACATATTATTTCAGATTTCTACAAATAATGCAACGGAACAATTGAAAAATATAGTCTTAATACAATTACTGAAACTTAGTGGTCTAGGAGACTGCATCACCATACTAATAGCGTAATCTTTGTTACGTACCACTTACAGGTTATAAATGTTTCCTTTGACAATGTTGATTGTACATTGAAAACACTTTCTATTTTTATGAATTCATTCATGCATTGTTCCACATGCAAGACTGAGATGACAAAACTTTGAATAATTTGGGACTTGTATGACTTACCAGCAGATGCTAATACAGTGCAGATGAGAGCATTTTTTAAAGCAGCCATACGCTCTTCTTCTGATATAATTGACCTATATGACAATTCATTGTACCTTTGAGCAGCTTCAATGAACTTACGACGGTAGTCCAATACTCTTGCGTAACATACTTTGTAACATATTTGTAGTTTCTCATTTTTAGATTCAGTCTAAATGATAGAAAAATATAAAATAATAATTTTTTGTAGAAAGTTATTTAAAAAAGCTTAATATTACTTGTAATAATGAAGCCCTGTTGATGTAAGACTCTGCTAGCATTGGATCATCGTCTTCCAAGTACAGACGTGCAATTTTCATGTAAGTTTCCAATTTGTAATCAACAGTATATTTTCTACGAGTTATAAAATTTTTAGTATCATAAAAATTTAAAAAAAATTTACATTTATGAATACTTTTGTCCTGTTTCGAGCGGTATACCAACAAGTACTGATGCTGCTTCCTTCCAATTGATTTCTCTTTCATAGATAGATGCTAGATGTTGACGAACATTAGCAACCTGCTCTTCGAAAGAAATTACTCTTGGTTGAATCTATAAAAAAAAAAAATCAAATTAATTATTGAATTTACAACTGATTGTATCTACCTATTCTCACTTTTTCCAGAGTGAAATGAGCCAATAATTTAGACTGTCCATCGGGCAAATCAGGTAAGAGTTGTGTACTGACATCAGATAATATTTGACGAGATATTACCAAACTGACATTTTCATTAACAACTATTAATAAAAAAATACATTACTTATTAAAATTTGTTTAGTAAAGTACTAGTACAATACATAAAAATGTAAACAACTACTTACTAGCTTCAACAAATACTTTTAATGCCTCAATGATATTGTCACCAGTATTTGATAAGACATTGTTTAATAAGCTTCTATATCTATAACAATTTAATATAATTAACAATGTTAGTTTTTGAAATATCCAATAAAACTATCTCACTTGTCGACTTGATCTTTATGAGATGTTTGTGCGTTAGCCAAGTGGCTGAGATGTTGGCGGATCTGGGCTATTGTAAGAGACATATTTTCAGTCTGAGTTATGATTCATGAACTAAACAATTTAAAGTAGTTTGTGTGACATTAATAAGTATAAAGGTAATTGCTAATTCTAAAATATTATGATACAAAACTCATATCACAGGACAGCAGACAGATTAAAATATTCGGAGCACGGACTAAGATATACAGGACTGGACACGAGATGAATATTGTGGTTACGAAATGTTTTACAACAGGCGGAGTTCGGGGGGATATTTTCCTTTTAGCATTACTAGCGCCGTCTTAGTGGATACTTATGGAACTAGAAATTTGTATGATGTGTTCTAGTTCCCCCCACACCCTCCAACCATGTCGTGTCCAGTCCTGTATATCTTAGTCCGTGATTCGGAGTTTCCTACTCAAATCTTTTAATAATTCAATACGCTTTATTAGTGATAACGTTTTATCAAGGAGTTTCTACATAATATGCCGGATCGTTTGATAACCGAGAAATTCGGTTTGTCTGTTTGCCAAACAATCGTGCAATATATCATAGATCTAAAGCCCGGTCCAGACCAAGAAACATATGTTTCTGACATTGTCGTCGACAAATATTTGTGTTACCGCTTATGAGCGGAAATCGGAAACATTGTCGATGACAATGTTGGAAACACTTGTTTCCGACAAAATTTTATTTGGTGTGGACGGGGCTTAAGCGTGTAATACTGCATTACTGCAATGAAGCAAACAATATTATTAATTGAAACGCCGTGATCCAGAATTTCGTCTGCTCACTGTTCAGTTCCAATAACTAATAAGTAGTCATGACAAATTTAATTTGTCATGTAAATAATAACCAACACCTATCATAGTTGAGACTTTGAATTTGCTGATTTTTAACTCGAGTCTCAAGGCCGCTCTAGCTATTTATTGTAATTATGTTAATTTTATTTTAAATTTATTGAATTCACTTATATTTTATTAAAAATTTTCAATTTTGTATTACTAGAACAATTAATTTTCCAAATTATTTCCCGAAATATATTCCATAATTAATTTTTATACCGCACCAAACGCTTACAAATTTTACCATTTCAATTGTTGGCATTCGTACTGAATTTGTTTTCCGCTATACAATTTCCTCATAATAATATGGACACAAAATTGAAAATTGTTTACTTATTAATTTATTTTGTTCCACGATTTAAGATAGTGATGCTCACCCTCATTGCCACCATTGTTCGCTTCAATAATGATTATTGAATATATTCATATTATGATTTTTGAAATTTTTAAGTAAACTAAGCTACTTTAGGAATAAAAATATTATTTAAAATATTTTAGTTTTTTTTGTACTATTAAAGAGTGTTATGTGGCGGTTTTTTTTTTCAAACAAAAACCAAATTTTTTTCCTATAAATTTTCAAGCAGATGATTTTTTTGAAAATGTATATGTTTCAAAATCAATTGGATGATATGAACAATAAGTGGAGGCTGGAATTGTGTTAGCATTAATTCTCCCTATACAGCATTGTTTGAAGAAAGTTATACACAGTAGCATGGTAGCTCAATTGCCCTTTGAGATGCCCATAGACTGTTTTCCCTATTTTTATTTATATAGTATATAGGTTCCAATGTTCAATGCTTCTCAAAGTGCACAATAAAATTACAATAACAGTAAAATGTAAGTGAATACAATGCTGGTTGTGCCAACCACAAATGGGACATGCCCTGACTTAGTAATATTTAAATCGTATTAAACTAGTTTATATCATACAAATTGATAGTCGATACTGTAAATCATAATCCTGAAGACCTGAAAATATAGTTATATTATAGCATCATAGATTAAATCTATGACAAAATAAGAACACATTCCTCTCAAAATATGTTAACATAATTTTTTGTTAAATTAAATAATAAAAATAAAACTACTGTTTATGAAAAAATACTTTTATTAATTAACTTGATTTCATGAAGTTTTTATGACTACGCTGTATCAATAATGCTGAGCCAGAAAAAAAATAGCTTAGCTCTTAAAAGTGACCATTGTTTTCTGAGTTGAATACTTAAGCCGGTCCAAAATGAACTTTTATATAATGGTTTATCATATATAGTATTTATGCAGGTTACAGTCATTGGACGTAAAGATGTTAACCTAAATATATAATAACAAATTATATTTTACATTTTTAATAGTTTTATAAATAAATAAAATAATTTACTTTGATAGTGTTCCCAAAGTTGTATCAATACCCCGTATTAAGTCATTAGTTTTAAGTAATAACAAAATTTGAGGATTTACGGTTTCCAGAATATACAAAGTTTCAGTCAACACTAATGGAATTCCACTTTGAAATTTTTCTTTCTACAAAATAAAAAAGAACATTGTTACTATTTTTTTTACACTATTATAATTTTTTAATTACTTCAGCGTCAGTTAATTTCTTAGTAACAATGCCATCTTGAACTGAATCCCAAGTGCGTCCAGCTACCATACATACGAGTAGACCATACATTTCAGCTACTCCTAGTTTGGTACAGTATTTTTTCATTTTATCATGATTATTGTCCAATATACTCATCCATAATTTAGCATACGTAAGTCTAAAGCTATCAGATAATGTCTGAAATAAAACGTAAATTAAAAAAAAAAAAACAGTTGAATATTTTATTTTTTAAATTCAAAGCTTACAGCGTAAAGTCCATGGTCTAAAAGTATTAAATTCAATTGACCATTTTCATCTTTGTTTACCAACAAATTACCAGGATGAGGATCACTATGCACAAATCCATTTTTGAATATCATTTCACTATATAAACTTCCCAATTTGTCAGATATTTCATCTACTTTCAATCTAAATTTATGTAATTATGAATTTTAATTATTTGTATTCATGTCAAATTGTATATTAATTAACATATGTAATAAAATATTATACACAATATGTTTTATATACTAATTAAACACTAGTATAATATATATTCTTATTTCATTTTGTTTTTTAATAACTAATTATATGTTAATGCCGTTATATACAAGGTTAAAATTTTAAATACTTACTTATTTCGATTAATGTAATCAAGATCATTAATTTGTCCACCTTCGAAAAACTCCAATGTTAAAATTCTGGTCGAACTATACTCATTGTATATTTTTGGTACCTAGAAATTAATAAAAAAAAAGTATTATTTTATTTAGTATTATTTTTTAAATAATTTTATGTGGGTTATTTTATGTATATTATAGGTTACATAAATATGCATTCGAATACACTTGCTCATAAAATAAATACCTTCAACCACTTCAAGTGTTTGAACATTGATCTAATAGTTTCAGTATTTTGTGCTTCAATTGTAAAATCTAATTCTTTTGGTATATTCTGTTTTGTTTGTTTCACAAGCCATTGAAATTTAAAATCCGGAAACATATATGAACCAATGTTCACTAAAGTCTAAAAAAATGTAATTTGCATTATTACTTATTTAAAAAGCATGAGCATATATTGGTATATATTAACATAGTGTTATAGGGATAATATTTGTATCAGTGGTGAATTATGGCTCCAAAGCATGGACATGATCATTTGTTTTTAAAATTTTAACTCGTACTTGGCACAGTTTAATACTTTAGTATTAGTAATACAAATCATCCGGAAAAGCACAACTGAATGAGCATGCTCAGACCCCGGTTAGTCTTGAAGCTGCTAATAGATCTGTTTTCGGAACAGTATAATATTTCTCGGCAATAACAACTAACAAGTGCCATATAGGTAGTGTACGTTAATGTATGCTCTGACAGTAAAAAATACAAAAAAAATCATAATAAATAAATACAAGTGTAACTGAAACAGACCAAATTGCTGTCATATATTATTATAAAATACATAATGAGTAATGACTAATAATTAATGGCTACATAGTTTGGTACACTTTTTCTATTGCTACTACTATTCTATCGCCGTCAACGATTTATCACCCCGCCACTGTGTGACCTTGCTGATGTCATATGATATATGTTTTATACACAGATACAAAACTTTCAAATAAAAGTATATAATGTTAATATATTGTTTACAATTTACAGTAGCATAGACAATAGTTAGGTAATAGCTAACATTTGAAAGTACCTAAACTCTATTCACAATGAGATCATTACTTGGCGGCGACCAGTTTATGTCGGGCGGCGGTCAGACATACGGTGAGACACCGTCCCCACTATGGCAACGCGTCGGGCACTGCTATGAAACAAAGCTACGCCCATGCGCACAACTAGGCTGCCGAGTAATGATCTCATTGTGAATAAGAGTATAAGAGTTAAAACGTTTCACTGCTGCTTTTTACTATCTTACTATCTTACTACAAGTCACCACTAATTATTTAGCGAATGAGCCGCTTGGAAGGCTGATTTATTTATGATTAATCTAATAACTAAGTTAAAATACAAATACTTATGTCTTACCAATTTTAGTTTAATCACCAATAAATTAAGCACTATATTGTTAACTTAATTAAAGTTTAAACACATATTTTTCATATGTGTGTTAAAAAAAGCATAGCTCGTTAAAATAAAATACAATTCAAATATTATTAATAGAGGTATTTACCATTTATCCACAAATAAATCATATACTAGACTAACCTGCATAAAATATCAATCACGAATATCGACATTTTAAACTAAAGACTATTAATGTAAGTTTGCTTAGTGGCGGAGTGAAAAATTTTAAATGACTATGGCGGTGCAAAACAAATAAGTATCCATAAGTTTTGTAATTATGTTTTATTATTAAGCATACCCAAAAAATTCACCACCAATTTGTATTGTTAATACATAAGTTGGTTACCTCAATTATAGCAATATCTATTTTGGCATCTCCCCGGACATATGAGTGCTGCACTTTAATAGCAACACTTTCTCCTGTTGATCGTAATTTTGCTTTATGTACTTGAGCCAATGATGCTGCACCCAGTGGCTTTGGATCTATTTCACTAAATAATTGATCGACCTTTAATTATAAATAATATGAACTTGTTAACATAATATATTTAACTCATACAATATCACAATGTTTCAACCTTAGGGATCCATTCGAGGTTGTGAATAATTTTTGATGGGTCATCAAATAATTCCAATTTCAATATTTCATTTTAGAACAATTTTGTTCTAAAGATTTGTGAAGAGAGAAAAAATTGGTATTCCTGAGAAAATTGTTTTTAGTGTTAACAAAATGTTATAAATTATAATACTCAATAGTTATAACTAGGGTTCGGGACTTATTGCACACAAATTATAGGAAATATGCATGCACATATGCACTTAAAATAACCTAAATATGCGAACAAATATGCAATTGAATATTTTTTTTAAAATTAAAAAATTTGTATTATTCATTTAAATTTAGACCTTCTTTTGTAATTAGTCATATTTTTGACTACAATAACACTATCCACATTATATTACTGAAGTGTATGTTCGATTTCATTTTCTTCGTCTTCTCCTACAATGAAAAAAAGGTTGGGTTTTTCTTTAATATATTAAATTATTATTAAATATAAAAACGATGAATTGTTCACTTGTAAAGTTTGACTGTACGCAATTAGACATTAGAACAGAGATATTGAACAACGCATGAAAGTAAAAAAAATAAAGTTAACCTTTAAAATAAATGTACTTAACATAAAAAAAAACTGCTTAAATATGCTGTAAATAACAATTAAACTGCCAAAATTTGTCAAATATGCATTTTGCTCAGAAAACGGCAAAATATGCAAAAATATGCAATTAAAATTTTTGTATTTCAATCCGTTATGACTTAAAACAAATTTAAATCTTACTTAGACTATTCTGCAGTCATTATTAAGCCATATGCAAATGCAACAAGTCCCGAACCCTAGTTATAACTTATAACTCTGTCCAAGTAAATTTTAGATATTTATACTATTTTTGTTTTTCATAAGCCAAACCTAAAACTAATAGTATAGAGTTTTAAGGAATATTTTAATAACAAGTTTAAGAAAGGTTATATAAAATCCATTGCAAAGTGGGTGCCGCTCTGCTGTACAGTCATTGTTGAGTGTGTCATTGTATGAATGTGTTATATTTGAATTCAATGATAAATTAATAAATACAAAAAAAAAAAAAACGATTCTGAGCAGGGATGTTGTGCCATCCTAGCATACTTGGTAAATAATCAAATAAATTAATAAAAATCAGAAATATCTCATGGCTAAACATTCAGGCAAACTTTTATTTCTGTTAAAGGTAAAACAATTTGTGGGGAATCTTCTATTAAAATTTCTAATGTTAGCTATGAAAACAATATCTTTTATGAATTTCTTATTGGAAAAAATTTTACAGTGTGAAAAAATGTTCATAGCTCAAAAAGATAGTTTGAGAATTTTATCATGTATAGAAAATGGTAATTTTAATATTTGGTGAAAATGTTGAGTGTCTACGGTTATTCTTACTATTTATTACGGTTATTACAACAAAACATCAACAATTTACGGATGAAAATTCGTTAATTTACCAGAGCAAATCCAATATTGTAAACATTTAAAATTCAAACGGTACAAAAGGTAGAAAAATTTGTGGATAATCTTTAATTAAATTTATAATGTTAGCTATGGAAAGAAAAATTTTCATACATTTCTAACAAAAAAATAATTAAAAAATTATCGAAATTTTATCTAAAACTACTCAGAATTTACAATTTTAACCTCTTAAATGTACTTATGAATATAATCACTTATATATCAGAAAAGAAATTATGTCGGAGAATTTTTACTGTCCTAAATGTTGATGACAGACAGAAAAAAAACACATACATCATTGTAAATTAAAGTAGGAACAATATATTCATAGCTCTGCTCAGAATCTTAAAGGTGTCAAATATATATACTTTATTGTGTATGATAAAATAATAAAACTGTATTCCTAATAACTTTAATGAGAATTATAGTTTTCATAAATATAAATTATAAGTACTAAATTTTGAAATGAATGTAAATAAAATTATCTCAAAAACATATTGTTAACATAACCCCCACATTAAAATCTCTTATTTTGTGTAAAAACGCTGATGATAGCTATCATAATATTATTATTGTTAAGTAAGTAAAGGTAAAGAAACAGTGTTATATTGTATTTGAATGACCTATTATAAAATGTGCAAACCCACACATATTATGAAATACTTGTACTTACATCTTGTTTGAGATCCTCTTTGATTACTTTGTAAATTTCTTTTAAAGGTGTAATGGGAGCTTGACTGTGCAAAACCTTCAATGTATCTGTATATTCTTTTGGGAAAAGATTTTCTAATGCCCCAATGTGTTGTCCAATCTTAATATAAACACCTTTGTTCGTGCGACATAAATCTAGCAACAATTCAGCAGCTTTCTCATGAGACTAGACAAAATTAATAAATTATTACAAGTACTAATAACATTTTGACAAAATAAGAAATTAAATACAGATATAAACATACTTTTGATCTTATTTCTTGATAATTTGGTAAAGATTTGTTAACTGACGGTGCATACAGAGTAGTCTTATAATGATACATCACATGTAACCCCTAAACAAAATTTTTTGGTTACGAAATTTAGTGATTTATACATACATTTACCCTGTGATGAAAACTAAGACTTACAGTAGTGGCGGCTCGACTAAATCGAACGATGCCAACTGAATCAATATTAAAATCATTGTCATAGAAGGAGTAAGCAGTTGCTACTGTACCACTCAGGATACCTAATCCAATTGTTCTACCTAACATCTTAATTAACATACCTCACCGCACTGAGATTAATTTTACTTTTCTAAAGACATTTTAATCTATTTAATATTACATAACTATTAACTAATCAGTTAAAATCGGTTATAAATAATAATTAATAGGTAGTTGATATAATTCTATGATAGATGAACCGATTAATCAAATACCAATATACTAAAAAATTTTAAAAAAATAATAAATAATATACTTTATTATTACTAATCAGTAATCAGTAATCACTAATCAGAAAGAAATTAAATTTCAGCTCTTGTAGCACATTGCACATAATTTAATATTTATTCTGCTATCTGCTATTAATTGTATACCTATACTATGATATAATGTATGACCTTGAACACTTAATGATAACACATGTTGAACGAATTTTTATCACTAATCAGTGGTCATCATATTTTACATTATTATTATTATTAAATATCTTAATATTTTAATATTATATTATTATCATAGATATTAATATCTATGAATATTATAATAAATATTAAATAGAATAAACTAGAAATAATCTGTTAACTTACTATCATAAATCATATAATATTATAAATTATTAAATAATTATAGGTATTATAACTATTTAAATTTATGTACATATAGAACATATTATATAAATAGTTAATTATAGTTAAAATTGTTTCATTTAATGATATCTTAAAATTTTTGGTGAGCGAAGTAATGGATCAATATTTTGCGGTGAACACTTCACAGGGGCACATTTCATTTGAAATTATCAAAAAAAAATTCAGGTTCAGAATATGAATTTAAAATAATGAAAAGCTTGTTCATTCAAAAAGTCAAAATCTTAGTTAAAAATCATTGCAGAAAAATATTTTTAAAATGTTAAAATACCTTATAAGACCTTTACTCATTAATAACAACTGTTAAAAGAATAACGCTATTTTACATAGATGTACTAAAAAAAATGTTTATTAAAAAAACAAAATTAAATTAACCTTTTTATGTATATACAGTTTTTTATTTTTATAATTTTTATCAATTAATTAAGTAATTTTGAAATGGTAAAAATATAATAAGTGAAATACACCTAAATAAGTTTTCAAATTATTTGGTTGTATTATATAATGAAAATAATATTGAAATGAGTACAATTTGAGAAAATCATGAGCCAAAAACATAACCATTATTTACTGTTTTAATATTAGGAATTATCTAGTAGAAACAGAAATGGGTGAATCTCGATCATATGTATTTGTAACATCCATTTCAACATCATCGTCTTCCTCATCATGGGTTTCACTATCATCTGAAGCATTGACTTCTTCCTCTTCATCTTCTTCATCATCCTCATCTTGTACCTATTTAAAAAGAAAAAATAAGAATTACAAATCGCATATTTTGAGAAAACAAAAATTGAAAAAAGGGTGTCCGGTTTCACATAATAATAATATAATCATAGCATAATCAAATAATATTATTAAGAACTATGTCTTAAACACAATAATTATATGTTGTTGTCTTGTTTCTAAACAATTATTTACTTAAATAAATATTTTTGTTTCATTTATAGAGATGTTTTAAATGTATTATAATTCAATTGTATACGCTTTATAATTTTAAAATAAATACTTATTAGGTATTTTAAAAACCAAATTTTTAAAATAGAAAAATTATTTTTCAATACAGCTACACATATCACTGAAAATAAAACTATAATAAACTGATGAAGTACAACAAGAAAAGAAAATACTTTACAATACAAATTATTCAGAACAAATATGAATCACATAATACAGATATTGTAAAAAGTATATATTACTTCAGTTGCCGTTTTGCCAATTGGTATTGGAAAGTCCTTGTCGTTGATTTTGTTTGTTAATGTAAGTAACTAAAATATATTCGGTTCTTTATTATTAAATTAATTTGTAAAATATTTTAGTAAATATTCTTAATTTTACCCAGTTTTGATGAATACTTTCTATTCGAATAAGTTCTGAATCTTCATTTTTAGGCTCATCAACACTAAACCATAATGGGTTCACGATATTTGGGATCATAGTTGGAAAAATTGGGATGCCAGAGTTCATTGTGATAATATATTGTACCTATTGATCAAAATAAAATGAGACAAACATAAATATTTAAATTAAAAACAGATCATAAAAAGTTTTGATGAACGTCATTCGTCGGAACTATAGTCTATATAATTAGAATAGGTTCAAGATCTTCAAATTTGAATATACAAAAACAAATTGAAAAGTGAAAAGCGAAATACGTTAGACACCAGTAAAAGTAAAGTTCTGAAGTCTGACCACAGAATATTTATTTGATAGTTATTCTGTGGTCTGACTTCTGAAGTTCTGAATGCTGATTGCTGAATGCTGATTGTTGAAAGTTCAAAGGTCTATGATGATAACAGAATATTATTTTGTAATTATTCTGTGATATAATGGTATAGTGGTATAGTGGTATAGTGGTATTTGGTATATAAACTGATAACAAAATAGAAAAATCAGGATTTAAGATATTGATTAGGAAAAATAATAAAATATATTTTTAAATTTTGGTTTTAGTACAACAGTACAACACTACAACCAAAGTCACTACTTACTAATAAGTTTGTAACTCGGCTCATAAGTCTAAAGTTATACCATAAGATTTTTAAGCATCCATTTTAAGATGGATTCAGAATTGAAAGATTTAGATCTTTATGGAATACTAGAGATCCAACAGTCGGCTACTGAAAAGGAGGTAAATTCATTTTTAATCATTCCTATAATATTACTATTGTCTAAAAATATTTGCTTTTTCTTTCAGATTAAAACGGCATATCGGAAGAAGGCTCTACAATGCCATCCCGATAAAAATCCTGACAATCCCAAAGCAGCTCAATTGTTCTTGCAATTATCTAAAATATTGACTGTTCTTACAGACACAGCAGCTCGAGTAAGATGTTTTGCTATTGTACTGTAAATATTATTTTTATTTTAAATATTTTTACTTGTTTTAGCTAGCTTATGACAAGTTAGTAAATGCTAAAATTGCAGCAAAATTAAGAGAAAAAGAATATGATTCAAAAAGAAAGAAACTAATAGATGATCTTGCTAGAAGAGAAAATGAAGCATTAGTAAATCAAAAAAATACAGTGGAACGCAATTTCGAGGTAATTATTGGATAGTTATTTTGTTAAATTTTTGTTCTTAAATTATTTTTTTTTGTATAGAAAGAACTGGAGCGTTTAAGAAAAGAGAGTTCATCTTTACTTGCAAAAGAAAGAGCCCGTGTTAATGAGCTGCTTAGGCAGCAAGAAACTGAGAAAGAAAAGATCGGTTCATTCAAATTAAAAGTTAAGTGGAAGGAAAATGGAGTGTATAATAAAGACAATTTAACATCATTATTCTCAAAGGTAATTTATCAAAATTATATTTTAATATTTTTCTAATACACTACAATATTATAGTATGGCGACGTAATAACAGTTGTGGTTCTGGAAAACAAAAAATGTGTTGCTCTTGTTGAGTACAAATCTAAGACTTCTGCTGTAAGTGATTTTAAATTAAATTAAGGTTAACTTTATACAAATACTTTTCAGTGTTCATATAAATATTATTTTACTTTGCTAGATAAACGCCAAAAACTTGGAAGTTGGTTATCCAAATTGTCCTCTAATTGTGAGTTTTCTCGGGGATTATGGACAAGACACTAAAAAGAGTACCGCTAATCATACTTCTGTTCCAAATCCTAGTACTATATTTTCAACTCATCAAAATTCAAATGACAATCATGTTGAAAATACCTCATCTGCACAAGTAATTGTTTTAAACCATATTCACCAATCTACTATTAATAAACAAAATATAACTTTCCTTAGGCTTTTTCGGATTATGAAGCAATGATACTTGAGCGATGTAGAAAAGCTAATAAACCACAACAAGAAAATAGTAATTCAAGCAAAATAAATACACAAGAACCTTGGGTCATATGAGAAGTCTAACGTATTTGATTTACATAATTAATAATTAAATTAAATTATTATTAATACTTGTAGATATTATGTACATATGTAAATATTTATAAATATTTTTATCATCCTTGATTGACAATACAAAGTTAAAAATTTCTACCAGGCAATCAGAAAAAAAATTCCCAAAATATTAAAAAAATTATTTCTGATAAAATATCTAACACTGTATAAGAACAAATAAATGTGGAATTGTGAAAATACAAAAACAAAATGATTATATATACTTACACGTTATTAGTTATTACTTGTTAAATTCCTGTTGGGTTTTCAATTAAGGTTGGCTGTATTAAAGTTTTTAATTATACTAGTACAAGTGTACAACTCTAGCTGGCAGTCTTATGTTGAACTTTCTTTAACATTTGGTGATAATACAATTGTTCTTTCGCAAATACCAAGTAATTCCATTAATTTCATTTGCCAGTTATTTCGATTATGATGCACGGCCAAATTCAAGGTTACACGAGTCATTTTTCATTCAAGAGCAGTTAAATTTCATTCCAAATTTTCGAAGATGCTTTTTTAAAGATACCGTTTTCATTAAACAAGTCATTTTTCCTTTTTTTAAGATGACTTATAATCTATAAACCTTTCAACACTACTATGTTTTCATAATATTATTAAGAGGACGTGATATGAGCGTGTGTTGTCTCCGTCTTACAAGTGCATAACATAGAAAATTATACGCAAAGCAGAACACGTGTAGCTCCGTCAGCTTAAAAATTAGAGTAAATTGATCTCTTATAAAATCTTCTTTTTTTTTTTTGTTGTAATTAAAATATTTTATTCAATCTGTTTCAATACATGAACAATAAGAACAATTGATGAAAGTAAAAAATAAAATAAAATAAAAATAAATGACAGATTATCCCGAATGTAGAGGCCTCCCAGCGGAGGTAAGATTTTATCTAGACAACCTCATGGGCTTTTGGAACAAATCTAGTTTAGCACCCCCTCGAAATTTCTATTTTTTTTTTTTTTAAACCTATGTATTTTGGCAAGTTTAGAACGATGGTGCAAAAATAAATTTTTGGAAATGATTAGTTTTGACGTTATAGACTAGCAAAGTTCGCGATTTTCTGTGTTTTGTTCATGCGCTCAACACTCTATTTTAACGCTCTTATAATGTGGGCAGTGATTACTGATTAGTCCAGGGCTCGTAAGTTCATGCATCTGCATGTTTTTTTTGCTACACAGGAAAACATGCTAACTGTGATACAAATCCGTTTCATAACAATAGTAATAATAATATGAAGTTTGATAGTGCATGTTTTTGCATGTTTTGGGTGTAAAGTCATATTTGGCATATAGTTGATTTTTTACAGTCATTAGTGCATATTATTTCATAAAAATATTTTTTAGACAAATATTTGAAAAGTTTCTTCCGATTTTCGATATCTTGTTCCAATCGTCCAATATCGCATGGTAAATTATAACGGTTTTTTAAATTTTTTATTGATTAATTATTTAGCTAATTAATAAAAATATCAAAAATCGGGCTTCTTACGATTGTAAAAAAAGTTCTACTCTACAATTTTTATAATAGGTATTTTTACTGTAAACTACTTTAATAAGCCGTATTACTTGAATTACGAAACCATGGTTTTATGCCATATTTTGTCTACTAGTGCGCCCTCTTAAGTTGGAAAACATAAAAAATACACTTATAAAATATATATTACTAAATTATCTCAAAATGAAAAACCTAATATTTAATTCCAAATGTTTTCATTGTTGGTGCTGAATAAGGGTGTACACAAATTAGACAAAAATGACTACCTAATTAAAATTTATATAGGTCAAAGCTATTTGAACTTCACAAGTATTAATTTTATTTTTTATTTTATTAATTTTGACTGTTAAATATATAAAAATAAAAAGGAATAAAATACTTTTAAAATGTATGGATTTATTCCTAATATTTTAAAATTTGGTCATGTTTTTTTTACATAATGCATATTTTGAGTTCATAATTTAAAAATGTGAAGGCATATAAATGCATATTTTGACAATTTTTAGTGCATGAATGCATGCTTATTTATGCATTTTTTAGTGCATGAAGTTACGAGCCCTGCTGATTACACAGTTAGCGGCCATCGTCATATTATTATTGCGCGGTTTTTTCTAATAAACCAATGAAAACAGCGTATTTGTGTACGGCGCTGGGGCTTTAGTAGGTTTGGTAATACGCGCTCCGCTCCGCAAATCGAAAATATCCCCAGACTTTTGTTATGCAACACCTCAACACCACCTTAAGTAGGTTACAGGGTAAGTTATGTCTTATTTATTTTTGCACCATTGTTCTAAACTCGTCGAATTACATATGTTTCAAAAAAAAAAAAAAATGAAAATTCGAGCGGACGCTAAACTAGATTTATATTTTATACAATAGTTTTAGTATTTTACCACTGATAAAATGAGATTTTATGTTTTGTCCTTAGATCACAATAATAATTATTATATTATATAATTTTCCGTGGTTTTGTTTATACAGTTTTTGATATTTCCCGATTCAATATTTTGTAACCTCTTCATTGGAAACGTATTTTATGATATGTTTGTAGTTATAAGGGTCATAATATTAAACATGGATTGGGAGTTCTATTGGGATACTATACAACCGCACGTTCTGTTTCCGTCTTACAAAATGTACCTACGACACAGTCGACATAGCCACATAGCAAAAATTGCCTTGTGCGGGACAACTATACTTCCTCTGTATGACTGCATTTATAGTATAGAATTACCAAAATAAAATTCCACAATGCTAGTGAAGAACTTTATCCATGTTGTAAAGTTTTTATTTTTTTATATCTTAGTCCGTGGTACCTAATGATTATTATCGTTCTCTGGTAATATGGTATGTGCCATGTGCGTCGTAATCATGAACTAGTTTTTCTTAGTTCTTCTTAGTTCATGGCCGTAATGATGACATAACTCATAATATTGTCATGTAGTAAAGACAATGGAGGGGATCTGGTCCGACAGCCAAGATCAACAATACGTAGCTTTAATGGTCAAATTAGCATATAGGTGTAATAGCCAATAGGACATTCAATTAATCAGGTTCAAAGTACAACAGTTACCTATCAATATTGTTACCTTGGATCGAACGGTATCGAATTTATCAGTTATAGCTCCTGGTCTTTACTCTTTACAAATGAAGAAATAGACAATAGTATAATAATAGTATAAACAAAGCCGCGTTTACCTACAATTTAGGGCGAACGATACGATCCCCTACATAAAAAATTACAATTCAACATTTAAGATCAACAGACTTTTGTTTTAATTTGAGAAGTGTAATCTCCTTTGTGACAATATGTAGGTACCTATAAAAATGATATTTGTTATTTGTAGCTGTACCGAGTACCGACCATATAACACCTACATCAACCACCAATACTTTGAGGAGCTGTATCTCGTAAACCAATCAACAAAAAAATAATATAATAAAAAATATTTTATATAAACAATTTTACATTTACTATTTTATTTTACCATTAAAAACGATGTTATTCGTAATACATTTTGTATTAATTGAAACAAATGTTTTGTGCTGGTAGCATTTAGAAGTTGATGGGACGATTTACATAATTTGCTGTGATTGTAGTTCTATTGCTGATGACGGAGATGTAGTTGTGAGGGGATTTGGACTCTCCCCTATATACAAACCTTATTGTTTTCGGTGAGTCGTGATTTGGGGCTTTATTTTTGTTCCCTAATGTTGGTTTGCAGGGTTTGTACTGTTATACTGTTCGCTGATTGGTGGTCCTGAAAATGACCGTTTTATGTAGTGACGGCTGCTCCGTTCACAATGGACGGTTTTATAGAATGAAACACCGTGTTTAAAATCACGATAATTATAATGATATGATCAAATAAAACAAATCAAACATTTAATATTTTAATATATTTTTTCTTAATTAATTATATAACATACAGTTTATCTATGTCATTATAGGACCATCAAGAATAGGTTTATCCACAAATTTCACGGACAAATCTTGAGATGTACCTTCAAGTTCCAACATCACTAGTGTATTGACATAAGGTGATGGTTTTAAAAAAGGAGCTGGCACATAAAGTGTAACTTGAGGTCCACCAAGTGGCCAATACCGACCAAGGTTTACATTGTTTAAAAACACTACACCCTGTAAATATTGAATATTGTTTATTAAATTGTAAATATGTGGATAAAAGTTGACTTAACAGTATTAACTTGTAATAACACACCTTTGTCCAGCCTGAAGTGTCCAAATAAGTGTCTAAACATTTTGTATAGTTTACTGGTAATGTAAACTGTGTTTTATAAAATGCTGGTAATTTAACACTATTGACATTTTTAACTGATTTGATCGAAGAAATCCATGATGTATCATTCAAAGGATATGCAGTCATTTTCCAAGGGCTCAATATTTTGTTTCCGAGAATCACTTGATCAAAAATTCCCTAGAAAATATAATTAATATTATTTTACATACAATATTTTAATTCAGCAATTCTAGGTACTCAGTTGGTAGTTAAAATAAATATAATGCAATCTTATTTAGTGATTGTAAATATTCAACTTTTGTTTCTAAAAAGGTAATGTCACCACTCACCAGTCTGTATACAATTGATCAAGTATTAACTTCTTTACTTGTATGGTGACTGGTAAGCATTATATTATACTATAATATAATATTATGTATTTCAGCTCATACCATAAATAAAATAATTTATTATCAGCTATTATTACCTTCCTATCTTCAATAAAGTCTCCAAAATTAATCCTTCCCTGATTCTCAATTAAAATGCTTAGGTTTTGAACAGTGCGGTTAATGTTTAATCCTATTGTAGTATTAGCTTTTAACCGATTCATAGTACCCACTTGTACCTAAAAAAAAAAATTTGAACACTCATGTTTTCAAAATTATAACTGCAATGTAACTCTACTTGATCCAGGTAAATGATTGCTCGATCTCTAACCGTGTTCACAGTTAGGTTTACTGGATTTTCAACATTCTTTTGATCATCTGTTAATGTTGTTTCATACATTACAAAACCAGTGTTAATATCTAAGTCCTCAAACGGTAAAGGGACATTACTGATCACTGGTTTAATACGTTGAGCAACCTTTTCAAATATGCTAACCAAAGGTTTTAAATAGAATTTTCCATAGGCACCTTTAGGTGAGGGATTAGGTGATATCTCGTTTGTCACAGCATATTTCTTAAAAAATATTAATTAAGAAACTGTATATGTATATTGGATAGTTAACTATTATTAAAACTCACGGCTTCTTCAAGTGTCTGTTTAATTTTGAAATACTTTTCAGTAGGGTCTCCAGCTTCATCCAATGGAGCATTATAATCGTATGAGGTCAACTGCGGTAAGTATCCAATACTTTCTATGGTGTCATTTGTATTCGCTCCCGATGTGAATCCAAAATTTGTACCTCCGTGAAACATATAAAAGCTAAACGAAGCATTCATTGCCAACATTACTTTCATTTGTTTTACAACATCGATGGTGTTTACTATAGATTCTGATTCTTGCCAATGAGTTAACCAACCGGGATAGAACTCCGAGTTCACTAGTGGACCCCCTTTTTGAACCTTTCTCATTAAGTCAAAACATTGGGAAGCTAGAACAAACATATAGAAATAAACTATAATTCAAATCTGAAATAAATTTAATACTTTATGAGATTGTGCCCGTCTCTCAGTGTTTTGATGACATTTTTAAATTTTTTCACACACCGAGTAATCTACTTCGACTTTTTGTAAATACTAACCGTTTGATGAAACTCCAAAATCTACAGTAGCGTACACTTCTGGAATAACGCCACAGTCAAAGTATGACTGACCACATCCATCAATCGTAATAAGCACAGCCTTATCTTCTATGTAACTCCTAAATAAATCACGTATCCATAATTTATACTCGGAATCGCAGGCATAATAACTTCCATACTCATTTTCTACCTAATGAAATGTGTTATAAATTAAATTGGAATCAAACATCTCAAAATTGAACATAGAATACCTACAAGAAGCATTTTTTCTCACCTGGACCAAAATTATATTTCCTCCATTTCCATATAAATGAGGTTGAACTATTGGCATAAGCACACTAAACCATTTCGAAACATATTTTTTATAATCTGGAAATAAAGTACTCACCTGTTAGAGGTATGACAAAATATAATAAAAATAATTTATAACTTAAATAAACTTAAATAACTTCATTTCTGATCATATATTAGCTGCAAAGTATGAACAATTCATTACAGTTAATACAAAAAAGAGACAGTTTTATTTTCCTAAAAAGTAGTGATTTTTTACTTATTCCTTTTTGCTTGCACACCGTGAAACTATAATATTCCTTTTTATTTATTGGATTGTATTTGTTTAAAGTTGAAAAATAGATTATAACACTAAGTCTTATTCATCAATATTCTGTACATTTATATAGTTTTATGATTTTTATAAAATTAAACATTTTTATTTTTAATGATCATAATGATTTAAAAACAATCAATTTGTCTTATTTATTTTGAAAACTGTAAAAATGATCTTATTATTGTATAAAGTTATTACTTATTATTATTATTACTTAAGTACATATCAACAGAAATAAAAAATATTTTTAAAATACAGTTAGTGGTCACTCAAAAATTCGAAATTCCGAGAACCAAGCTAAAAATTCGTAGAGGTATTTGATTTACCGAGTGTTTGGTAATGAAAATTGTATGACTTAAATAAGAACATACATTGTATTTAATGTTTTTATTTAATTTATTTTGATGTTTATTAATATGTATTATTATATAATAATATTATTAAAGTAATGCCAGTAATATAAGTCAAAGTAGTAAGATGGTCCTTTTGTATGAGTAAAGCTAAAATCGTAGATACAAAAATGAATGGCAACTTCTTTTTTCTTCACTTGATTCAACTATCTAGTGGATTCACTTTTTTTTCATCGATAAGTGACAAACATTTGTACTTTACGGGACCCATATTTAGACTATGTTTTATTCAATTTCAACAACTGTTTAACTATTCAGAGGTTTATTTCGCTAAAATGATACGATTAGAGTCGAAAACCACTGATAGACATTTTGAATTATTTAGGGGACCGAAATACATGTATTTTGTTCTAATTATAGAGGCTTTCTCAGGAGACCTAGTATTTAGTTTGATTTATGAAGTTTTTCAAACTATCCAGTGACGACTATAGTACCCTTAGATTTTAAGAATCTAGCCAAAAACTTAGCGATACCTATTTAAATTATATGAACATTGAACAAGAATACAAGAATTGATTGAGAAAATAAGTTTAACTCTTTAAACGGAATATGGTATACCTTATGCAGATCACTACATCAGTATTAAGTACCTGCTGATGGTTCTAATATTTCTTAAATCATTTCCAATAGGTACAATTTTTTATTTTGTATTTGTTTAGTATATGACCTATAGGTACCGATTGAGAATCGAGTTTAGTATGTGACCTCCCAAGACGATTATCTATATTATGTACAGGTACCAATCTATTAACAGGTAAGATGAATTTTTTACATTATTTAAGTAATATACAAAAAATGTATAAACAAAAATATTTAAAAATGAAATACAATTTTTTTATAATAACATAATATAACATTTTTTTGAATAGTTTTGAAAAAATTCTGTTATAGGTACTCTATGTGTATTCATAAAATGTTTTAACTGATATTTTGTTTGACTTATTTTGACATTGTTGCCTAAATATAATCCTATATTTCTTTATATTTGTATTACTAATTTATTTGTTTTTAAATTAAATATCGGTCTTGTAGGTCACATACTAAACGAATACACATGCTTCTAGCATCATACTTGAGTTGTTAGTCCGCAAGCTCTTTTTAGGCGTCACATTTAATAACCAATATGGAAATCCACCCTAGAAATAAAAAAAATCCATTGGCCTATATTATAAATCTTATCAAATACCTACATAAAATGTTAAATGAAGGAATAAATATTTTATATTATAGGTACTTACAAAATCTCGTTCAGCGCATATATATGGTCCTGGTCTCAAAATTAGATACATGTTTTCATTTTTGATTAATTCAATAAAATACTCCAAATCAGCAATCCCTTCAAAATCATACACTCCAGGAAATGGTTCATGTAAACTCCATTCTACATAACTGCATAAAACCATTATTAAACAAATTAAATGTCTTATTTCATTTACACATTAACACCATATTTGTTTCACTTTTATTTGAATATAATTTTATATATGCGTATTTCATTCAATAAAACATTATGATCATAAATCTAGATCTTGTACATGTCCTGTAAAAATTTGAAGATAACAAATAGAATTTTAGGTACAGACAGAAAAAAATTATTAATATATCTAAATTAGGTAGATAGGTGATTTATATTATAATAAACTTTTAGATTCTAAGCTAACATTTTTAGTTTGTTACTTTTTTTTTTATTTAAGGTAGTGGACTGTTTTTTTATTTTTATTGTTGTTACAGAATAAATTACATAGGTTATTAGCTTACAATTATGTATTGTCCAAGTTAAGATTATTTATTTATATGTACATAGAGACATGTTTACAGTGAACTAAGATTAAATTGAGTTGTACATTTCAATTTTTTTTCAAAAGGTATTAGTATTAGTGTTAGGTATTAATCGACTACTACCCATAGATAATTATTATGCATTTATGCTAATAGTTGTGACTATAATAAAGACGAAATTGATTTATTTTCCCAGTTTCATTTAAATATTGTACAGTATACACTCAATAGTCAATGGTATTAGTTACTCACGTTGTTATGGTGTTCAATCCAGCAGCTTTCATTTTTTGAATTCTATCTTTCCAATAAGGTTGAGGGATTCGGAAATAGTGCAATGAACCAGAAACATATCGGAATACTTTGCCGTCTTTGAGGAATTCATTATTTTCATAGTCAATGGTAAAGGTCTAAAAAAAATTTAAAATAAATCACAATCAATCGGTTTACCTGGAACCTGTTATATTTTATAAAAATAAAAAAATGTATATAACACTAGATGAACTCATTGGAACATATTATCTATATTAATAATAATAGTAAAAAATGTTTGTATCATTAAATTAACTATTGTTTGTAAAATTCATAAATTAAAATTAAAATTGCACAAATGTACTTATTGCATAACTATGAGATGTGTAAGTTAACATTACACCAAATATAATATTATAATTTTAAGTATTATTACAGGATAATACATTAGGAGTATTCTCCACTAAGAATCAGGAAAAATATCAACTCTTTTTATACTATATAATTTATATGTAGGTCCTTTTTTTAGATGACATTTACATAAGTTGTTCAAATCTAGGACTTTGATACACACAGATATGAAATATCTGCTAGTAGTTAGTACCTACCACAGTCCACACTCCGCAGAATAGGCACCTTATAATAGGCATTTCAAAATATATTTCAAAATATAGGTAGTGACTAGTAAGTGATAGTACTTAAAACTTACTGGTTTTTGAGTATCCAAAAAAACAGGATTGATTAGTGAGCACAATAAACACACAGATATCCAATTCATATTTGAATGTTTCACAGCTAAATGAACAAATTAGTTTTCTTATTTGACATTTGATAGGAAAGTTATAAAAAAAAACTCAAAGTTGCTGCTTAATTATTTTTGAATACACTAAATTAGTAAAGGATTTTGCTTCTCTCTAAACAATATGAATGTAGGTATTTACCTATTCAATACCTAGGTAATAATCTAATATTATAATATTAAATATGGAAGTTGCACTGCTTTTATCTCTTGTCGAAATTCCGGACTTGAAATATACGAAATGGTTTGTTATCTACTTTTTAAACTCATTATTTAATAATTGATATACAATACGTTATTTATTAACTACACATTTCAAACTATAATAATATATTATATAGGTACCTATTTTAATGATATTATGACTGACTGTAAGAATAATAAATAATAATATGTAAGAAAAATGTAAAATTGTAATCTGTATTCTGTAGACAGTTTTTTATTTCATACTACAGTAGTATGATTTAGATGGTTCAAGTCCACACTAGTCCCTAGTCCCTAGTCCATGCGAGTCAATGCCGTGCGCTGCCATTCCCCCTCCATGCCATGCCCGAACATGCCCGGCCACCATGCTCAACCATGCTCGGAAATGCTCGTCAGTGCCCTTCCCCTCCCCCACCCATACATACCCCTACAATCCTATACCGTGAGTGAACATCCCCCCCCCCTAATTAAAAAAAAAAAATATATAAAAATATATAAATTTTAAATATATTTATATATTTCCCAATACCATACATCTAAGTGAAAGTGTAAATGTATAGTATACATATCGCTACCTAATATTATGACATTCAAAACACAGTTCCCACATAGTTGACGAGTCGTTATTATATACATATAACATTGTATACTTCACACTTATGGTGAAATATTTTGTTTATACATATTATATATTAACCTCATCACACGCCTACTATGATGTCTAGCCCCCATAATCATCCTAACCTATCCATACACCTGCTATCAAGTACGTACACAACCATATACATCATACCATACCATACCCTTCCACATCCATCAATACCTAATGCGTGTCACACCATTCCCCTACCTACCATCAATACCTTGTACTTACCACACCATACCCTCTCACAAATATATATATTACTGAAAATATAGTCGTCATATAATATACTTCCATCACCTACACCTTGAGAATTATACTTAAATAATAAATCGAATACTCTAGTATAAGTGCCATACCTCCAAGCATACATACATTGATAGTTACATAAATAATAAATAATATTATATTAATCAATTATAATAAATAAAATGCTAATACACCTCTATTACCCTCACCTTTAAAATTATACTTAAATCTACTATACCAGTATACCATATTTCTAAGCATACATCAGAAGTATGAAAATCTCACGAATCCAGACTTCTCCGTCAAGACTGTCCCTACTCCCTAGTCTATGAGAGTCAATACCGTGCGCAACCATACACATCATCATCTCATACCATACCCTTTCCCTACCATCGATACCTAGTGCATACCAACCCCATACTCCTCCCTCCCATCAATGTCTAACATATACCACACCATAACCCTCCATACATTAGATAAACACAGTTTGTGATAAGTTAGCGACTTATAATAATAAACATAAAATTATTAATGATTTCCCAATACCATATGTACATCTAAGTGAAAGTGTAAATGTATAGTATACATATCGCTACACGATATGACATTATCAAAACATAGTTCACACATAGTTGTTAACGAGTCGTTGTTATATACATATAACATTGTATACTTCACACTTATGGTGAAATATTTTTGTTTTCCTAAAACCATCAACTTAACGTTTAGAAAGTTAGTATGTACAAAATCTAATTGCTTAGCTATTATTTCAACAATTTAAATGTATCCTAAACTAATTGAAAATATCATATGGATTAATCGTTTAACATGGTAAACAAGTAGATAATATTTTACCAATCCATGGCTTAAAATGTCACCATTACCTAAATATATTATAAATCGAAAGGTATATAGTCCTGCAAATGTTAATAACCAGTCAGTATGTTTCCAGTCGTATACTTCAGTACACAAACATTTATCGTTCTGCCTTTAATATTTATAGTGAAATTTATTTTTAAAGTGTTTATTATTTTATTATATCGAGTATAACTTTTATTTCATTTTCATTTCAAACATAATCATTATGTTTAAATGTACACAGTGCTCAACCACATTTACTCGTAAAGACAATTTGATTGTCCACCAAAAGAAGCATGATGGTATGCGTTTTTCATGTACTATGTGTGTTAAAACATTCAATGAGAAGTCTAACTGTAATAGACATATGAAAAATGTTCATGGTATGTATATATATTACTTAATTACTTTTAACATTCGATTTTTTCGCAAATTAATAAGTTATTTTATTTTAAAAGGTGTTGTCGGTATCAAACCCATTCAACGAGGTCGATATATTCAACCAACTCTATCACAAAGTGATGGAATAGCGCATACATCACAAATCATCACCCCAAACACTCCAACGGTTGCATTATCCAACAACCAAGCTGAGGAAAATACGGGTTTACGGAATGAAACATCTAATGATTTATACATTGACGATGATGATCGTCGCATGACAATCATAAATGAACTTAAGGATACCGACTTGGTTGATACTATACAAGGTTAGTATATAATATTATACACACAACGTATGGTTATGTAGTATTAGTAGTAGTAGTAGATTTATTTATACTCAAAATATTACAATGAAATAGGTTTAGGTAATGGTTTTGTTTAAAACATGCAAATCATTAAAAGTTATACACTTTCACATTTTGTAATATAATTTAAAGAATTTCGAGTGATGCTTATAATAAAATAATATTATTAATTCTTTCCTAATATTTCAACTGCATGCTTTAAATAGTAGTATATTATAATAAAATAATATTATTTTTCTTTCCTAATATTTCAACTATATGCTTTAAATAGAAGTATATTATTAGATTTACTTATTCAACTATTCAACATATATATATTTTATTTATTTAAGGTTAGGTAGATGATATATACTACACAATGTAGGTTTATTAAAATGTTTGAAAAGATTTGGTGTTAGTATTAATATTAATATCATAGATAGCACATAGGCTAATATTAGTTTTTTTTATTTTAATTTCAAGATTCATATACAACTACGACTAATGGCAAACGTATTTCCACCGCTAATACGGTTTCGGCTGCTAAGGCGAAAAAAGCACGCATGAGCCTAGTTCAGTCACCAGGCTTCATAGAAATCTCATCTTCAGCTAATAGAAAAATTGTATGGTACTATAACAAAAATACCGATAATGTTCAAAACTACCATACTTTTCTTCAATCACTTAAAACCAACCTCGTTCAGTTATTAAAAACTCGTGTTCAAAATGATAATTCAATAAAATTCAATTTAAAACTAGAATCGACGTATAATCGTCCAAACGTTGAAAATTCATCGGAAAATCGAGCATTTAAAACATCAGCCAAAGAAATTTATATGGATACAAAAATCGAAACAATAGTTGAAGAATCTTTTATGAGATTATTAGCTGAGGAAGACGCTTATGTTTCTCGCGGTAGTGGGTTTACATTACAATCCATCGATGGTTTACTGCTAGCCATTTATAAGTATACACCAATGTCTGGTTCGTCATATATACAATTACCGAAATCTATCATAGATAAACGAGCCATAATAAATCCTAAAAATACGGATCAACAGTGTTTTAAATGGGCTATATTAGCGAAACACGTTGCAGGAGAAAAAAAATTTCGTGTCAACGAAAACTATACCGAGCATGAGGATAAATACATTTTCAATGGTATTTCGTTTCCAACACCACTATCGGATATCTCTAAATTTGAAAAAAACAATCCAAACGTTTCCGTGAATGTTTACGGGCTCGAGAAAAAACTTCAACCACCATTAAAACACCCCATGCACTGTGTATTTCCTCTGAAAGTTGCTGATGATGATAAACAAGATCATTTTGATTTACTGCTGGTAACAGATGGAGATAACAGTCATTATACATATATCTCAAACTTTTCAAGACTGCTTCGCTCACAAAAAACTCGTCATGCAAATCAAGCAATATTCTGTAAACGATGTTTTACATCATTTGACAAACAGAATTTAAAGCATAAATTAAGCGGACAGGCAGCGCTAGAACACCACAGATTAATATGCGGCCCGCATAAACCCATATTACCGAAAATGCCTGAAGAGGGAGCAGTTCTTGAATTTAATGCATGGCAAAACGCACAAAGGCATCCTATTGTTATATATGCCGATTTCGAGGCTCTACTTGTAAAGACTGATGAGAAAAAGGGTGATAATACAACAATCATGCAAAAACACCGTCCTATGAGTTATGGATTTATAGTTAAGGCGGCTGAAAACGTACCATCAGACCTGCTAAAACAATTCAATATACCAACCGAACCCGTAATTTACCGTGGTAGTGAGGATAAGCAAGATGTCGCAAAACATTTCATGGAGAGTGTTGTTGATGTGTGTGAAAAAATTGAAAAATTGTTAGCGACGAACGTACCCTTGATTATGACTGATGAAGATACGACTAGACACACATCTTGTTTTAAATGCAATTTATGCAAATGCGATGTTAATAACTATACCCGTATTCGAGATCATGACCACCTGACCGGGAAGTTTAGACAGACTTTATGCAGTAGATGTAATTTAAGTCTTAAACAACCGAAATACGTACCAGTTTTCCTTCATAATCTTTCTAATTACGATGCACATTTTATAGTAACAGAACTAGGTTACGATTCGCATAGAATAAAAGTAATTCCAAACAGCGAGGAAAAATTTGTTACTTTTTCGAAATACATAAGTAACGATTTTACGATCAGATTCGTGGATACATTTAGATTTATGGCCACAAGCTTATCAACTCTCGCCACCAATCTGATAACACCAAACTTGGAAAAA